TTTAGCTTTGGCGCTTTGGCGTTATTTCGTCTTTTCGCTTTGGCGCTTTGGCGTTATTTCGTTATTTCGTTATTTCGCTTGGCGTTATTTCGCGGGCGACAAAGCGAAAAGACGAAATGTCATATATCAGCCACCATATGTAAGCATGTTTTATAGAACAAGTGAATTGTCTTGTGAGGGTACGGTGGATTATATTACATGGCGAGATAAACCTCTCTCTTTCTGCTGTCAAGGTGTTCCGCATGAAGGTTGATTATTTTACTCAGATTTCATTTTTTCCCTAAACCTCTTTGTCACCATACGTTATAACCAGATATTTTCAGAACCTTGAATCTTCATCATAATATTGATAAGGTCATACTTCAAAGTTAAATTCTCAAACTTAATTAAATCATGCCTTGCAAAGATTTGGTATATTTTATATATCATTCCTTCTTAAATAAAACTGGCACTTACACATAGGAATACAGCATTGTCTTCCAGTACAGTGAAAGACTAAATAATATAACTTCGATAATAAATAAATATACACAATATACACAAATGCATAACAATGCCAGCACAATCCCTGACAACATCATAATAATAACGTGTTGGAAACCTATCACTATGAAACTCATAACAGATCTCCTTACCGACTCGTTCTGGCATTAGCTGTAACAAATTACTGGCTTCCTCGGCATTCCTTAGTTCTACCAACCTGCTGTCAATGCCAACGCAATGAGTCTGAAAGTTAACAACACTATATATAGAACTCTTAAATCCCTAATCCGTAACAGTAAACTAGTAATTGAATAACTCGATTTCTACCAAACATCAAAATCATGTATCGTTTTTCCATCCCATCCGATTTTCAAGAATGAAAACATAAGCATACTTTCATTCAGCAGCACTCCTTTGGGAAAGTGTGCAACTTAATAATCAGCTAATTATAACTGAAATAATGGGCTTTTGATATATATAAGCGAAAAATTATGAAATATTCTATGGTTTTGCTTCTTTCGCTCTTTGTACCCCTGGAATATGGCATAGCAAAATTGAAGGCACGAAGATAGCTGTTTGATTGGTCTCGGGTAAAAATTAAAGAACTGACCAAGCGCAAGGCTGATACCTGTCCTTTGACGATTACAAAGGAGAAACGCCCGACTTCAAAGCCTGTCAATTTATACCGTAACGTGACCGCGAGATTCTTTTGATGAATAGTACAGTCCACCAATAGTACAGTCCACCAATAGTACAGTCCACCAATTGCACAGTCCACCACTAGTACAGTCCACCAATAGTACAGCCCACCACTAGTACAGTCCACCAATAGTACAGCCCACCAATAATACAGTCCACCAATAGTACAGCCCACCAATAGTACAGTCCACCAATAGTACAGTCCGCCACTAGTACAGTCCACCAATAATACAGTCCACCAATAGTACAGCCCACCACTAATACAGTCCACCAATAGTACAGCCCACCACTAGTGCAGTCCACCAATAGTACAGTCCACCAATAATACAGTCCACCACTAGTACAGCCCACCAATAGTACAGTCCACCAATAGTACAGCCCACCACTAGTACAGTCCACCAATAGTACAGTCCACCACTAGTACAGTCCACCAATAATACAGTCCACCACTAGTACAGCCCACCACTAGTACAGTCCACCAAAAGTAAAGTCCACCAATAGTACAGTCCACCAATAGTACAGTCCACCACTAGTACAGTCCACCAATA